ACCCAGTGCCCTAACACAATCCTTTCAACAGAGAACATCCCTCTTTTGACCAAAATATATTCAGGCTCCTGAACCATCCTCCAGGATTGTCTGTGGATGCTTTTCTAAAATCCCAGTTTAAGCAAGAATTCTAAGCCAGTTCAGTAAGTATTTCTACCATTGATAATTGATCACCCCTGAAAAATCTGATCAAAATTGCTTACTTCCCACCACTGGTATCTGATCATGCTGGGCTGTCTTCACCAAGAAATCTATTAGCAAGAAATCTATTCTGGTTCAGCCAGAATCCCTCCCAAACCTAATGTCTCCTCTCAAAAATTTGCCAGCCCAGAAACACACTACTTCTTGGCTGTGAATCCCTACTCGTATCTGGTGAATTGTGAGTGAAACCCAGTTACATGATGGGGTATCTTTTCCTCTATTGCCATAGTCCTGAATAAAATTTGTCTTCACCACTAAAACCTATGTCTGTCTCTGATTTTCTTAGACACAATTCCCTCAACAGATTGCTGCTCATTCAGAAAGGTCCTTCAGAATTCCCCTAGATTCCCATAAGTCCTATAATAATCAACTTGGAAACTGGCCACTATTGTAGACTTCAGATTAGCCCATGAGTTTTCTTCAGAGAATTCGATTTTATTTTTTTTAATTAAGTAATTTATTTTTATTTTGGCTGTGCTAGGGCTTCATTGTTGTGTGTGCTTTCTGAGGTTGGGGTGAATGGGAGATACTCTTCATTGTGGTGCTCAGGTGTCTCATTGTGGTGGCTTCTCTTGTCTTGGAGCACAGGCTCTAGGGTGCACAGGCTTCAGTAGTTGCTTCCCATGGGCTCAGCAATTGTAGTTCAAGGGCTCTAGGGCACAAACTCAGCAGTTGTGGCTCTTGGGCTAAGTTGCCCTGTGAGTATCATGTGAGGTCTTCCTGGACCAGGAATCAAATCAGTAATCCTGTACTGCAAGGTGGATTCTTAACCACTGGACCACCAGTGAAACCCTAGATTATTTTTTTTAATGTTTTTGAAGTATAATTGAATTACAATGTTGTGTTTAATTTCTACTGTCCAGAAAAGCGATTCAGTTATATATATATATATATATATATATATATATATATATATATATATATATAGTTTCATATTTTTTCCATTATGTTTATCACAGGATAATATAGTAAGACCTTGATGTTTATACATCCTATATATAATAGTTTGCATCTACCAATCCCAAACTCCCAGTTCTTCCCTCCCTCACACTCCTCACCTTCGGCAACTTTAAGTCTACTGGTTCTCTAAATTTGTGACTTGTTTTGTGAAAAATTGAAATTGAAAGTCACTCAGTCATGTCCAACTCTTTGTGACCCTATGGGCTATATAGTCCATGGAATTCTCCAGGCCAGAATACTGGAGTGGATAGCCTTTCCCTTCTCCAGAGGATCTTCCCAACCCAGGGATTGAACCCAGGTCTCCCACATTGTGTGCGGATTCTTTACCAGCTGAGCCACAAGGAAAGCCCAAGAATATTGGAGTGGGCAGCCTATCCCTTCTCCAGCAGATCTTCCTGACTCAGGAACTGAACTGGGATCTCCTGCATTGTGCCATGTTTTATACTCCACATATAAGTGATATTGTACAGTATTTGTCTTTCTTGTTCTGATTTACTTCACTTAGTATGGTAATCTCTAGGTCCATCCACATTACTGCAAATAACATTGTTTCATTATTTTTAATAGCTGGGTAATATTCCATTGTATGTATGTGTGTGTGTATATATATATATATGTATTTTATTCATTCTTCTGTCGATGGACATTTAGTTTCTTTCCATGTCTTGGTTATTGTATACAAGGATGCTGTGAATATAGGGGTGCACATAACTTTTTTACTATTAGTTTGTCTGGGTATTTGCCTGGGAGTGGGGATTGCTGGACCAGATAGCAAGTCTATCATTAGTTTTTGGAGGAACATGCTTACTGTTTTCCAAAGTGGCTGCACCAATTTATATTCCCATCAATAGTATAAGAGGCTTCCCTTTTCTTCACACACTCACTAGCAGGTATTAAGTAGATTAAAAGTCCCTTTCGTTTGTCTCAGGACTGGAGGTGCTGACTGCAAGGGGATGAAAGGTGAGCCTCTTGCTTCTTTTGGATCTTGCTCCTTTTGGATCCAATGCTCCTTTTGGATCTCATGGAAGCTGTAATCCTATAGGAACATCCCAAGCTTAGACTTCTCAAATTCCACATTTCTGCTAACATCAAATGAAGTCTCTCAGACAGTCCTTTCCAATATTTAGGTTTCCTGGCAGCTTGGGAGAGTCCTTCTCATCCCATCAGCTAATTATTCTCTGCACAGAAATGGGTAGATTACTCTACTTAGCAGTGACCTTGGCTCACTAGCCTAGAATGCGGAAAATCTGAGTAATATTTAGGTTTTCCCTGAAGGTTATCTGAAGTAGTACATAAAAAGTGCCCACATGGTGGCTCACTCAATTTGTACTCCATAACAGAAATGTTTATGCTTATCATTGTTACTAATAAAAGGGACTGGTGGCCGGGACTTTAAAACATCTATTGAGTAGAATCCAGTTAAACCCTTTCTTATGCAAAGGCTATTTACCATGGCAGAAATGTGGTGAAAAGCATCTTCCCCAAAGTGGCCAAGAAGGGAAACACCCTTCAAAGAGTCTTCACCTTAGTGGCCAGTAGTATATAAGAATTGTTTGGGCATCAAGTAAATTGGGTGGGAGAGAGGCATGGAAAATTCTTGGAGATAGCAGAAAGGGTCTCCCTTTATGTGTGATCTTAAACTTCAAAGGAGTTTTTCTCTGATGCAGCCTAAAGTGGGAGTCATCCCTGAATTGGTAGAATGTAAAACATTAATAAGAGCTTCTGTATTTAGTGTAGGAAAGGCGCTGGTATTTCTGACAAGAAAAATAGAACTTTATTTCTGTACCTAATGGCATTACCTTGATCAGAATTTGTGTTGAACTTAGCAAAGTTTGAAGTTTGAGGAAACAATAATTATGTAAATTCACTTGGAAAGGGGCCAATAAAATTACGTTTGGCTTATAAGAACCCTGAAAAATAGTTGGGGAAATTTACCCTCTGGAAAATGTCCTCAGTGAGAAAAATTAACAAACAAACAAGCAAACCTCTCCTGGTAGCAGCTGCCTCTGGATGGCAAGGTTATTTGAGAATGACCTGGATTTATTTCTTCTCTGACTCCAAGTTCCCAAAGAGCCCACAGCACCCACCTTCAGTGCCTCTCAGTCTTGGAATAAGCCTTGATCACAGGATTCACACTTCATCCTCATCTCACATCTTAGTTTTAATCTTCTTCTGCAGTTTGTTGTGCTGAGCCCAGCTTTCTGAGGAAAAAACAAAACGAAACAGTAAGGTGACACTGTCTCTTCTGATCCACTCTCTTTTACTATCTTTTTTAAATTTTATATTTTATTTTTCGTTGTGCTAGGTTTGTTGCTGAGTGAGCATTTCTCTAGTTGAGGCGAGTGGGGGCTACCCTTTAGTTGAGGTACATGGGCTTCTCACTGCTATGCCCTTTTGTGTTGTAGAGCATGGGCTCCAGAGAGCATCGGTTTCAGTACTTTCAGTTTCCAGTTCAATTCAGTTCAGTTCAGGCGCTCAGTCGTGTCCGACTCTTTGCGACCCCGTGGACCGCAGCATGCCAGGCTTCCCTGTCCACCATCAACTCCCACAGCTTGCTCAAACTCACATCCATTGAGTTGGTGACATCATCCAACCATCTCATCCTCTGTCATTCCAGGCTTTAGGGCAAAGGTTCAGTAGTTGTGGTACATGGGCTTAGTTGCTGCTTGACTTGTGGTGCCTTCCCCAACCATTGGTCAAACCCATGTCCCTGCATTGCCATCAGATTCTTTACCATTGAGCCACAGAGAAGCCATCTTTTACTACCTTAATATCACCTAGAATAATGTCTTTGTGAATCAGTGATTGGGTCCTTGATTATCCAGCAACCCCATCATCCTCTGTCTCCTGAATGTGTATCAGATTCAATCAACTAACCTACAGAAATGTGATGATCCAATCGGCACTAGGTAATCTAATCAGGTGTCCTTTACTGATTGGCTTAGTAGTGGGACAGAGGGATGATGGGAATAGAAAGGTGTTTAAAAGTCTGAAGCACTGGAAAAGAGATGCAGAATCTTCCTGCTCTAGAGATACCAACTGGGTTCTCCACAGCATCTGAGATCTGAGCGCCCCACCAGCCCCACCAGAGCAGTAAGTTACTGTCCTCATGAGGACACCCTTTTTTACCCATGATTAAGTCTTGAAGGGTGGCATGTATCTCTGGATGCAGTGAGAGCTTTCAAAAAATTGTTTCTCTTCCATGAACACATTTCATGTTTTAGTTTTGCCTAGCAGTGTAGTTTTGCCTCAATCTCAAGCATTTTGATTTGTGCTTTAGTTGATATCAATTTGAAATGACTTTACAAAGGAGATATTTTTAATGAAAAGCATACATTTTGGAATTTTATTTAATGAAATTTAAATTAAATATTTTGAACACAATGATATTCATGTTAGAGGTAACTCAGGTTGGAGGCCTTGCTAGTCCACATGACTCTCACTAATGTAGGGCTCAAAGAGATTATTTGAAACTCTTCCCCAAATAGTTTGGAGTGAACTCTCGGGGTTCTTGGTATCCACTTTCTAGTGGGACCTGAATCATACAAAGCAATGGATGTTACTAAACAGGCTAGTGACTGTCTTTTTTCTTCATTGGTACTTGTGAGAGGTTTGTTCTGAAACCAGTAGGGAAAGAGTTATAGCTTTGTGCCCATTGAGGCCAGAGTGTCACATGGGCTGACTGAGGCATTTCCACCCCTGCCAGACCAGTGACCTTGGCTCTGAGTAGGTTCTTCTGAAATTTCGGGAGAATGTCTTAGGTGTGCTTCTGCTTGGCCTGAGATGGATGCCTTGTGCCCTGGCAGTTTCTACAGGATTCCTTTTCTTGTAGAGTCAAGATGAGTGTCCGGAACCCATCCAGACTCCTGGACCTGGCAGGAAAGCACCTGCTGAGGGATGATGCTTTGGCCTTTTCTGTTCTGGAGGATCTGCCCACAGAGCTCTTCCCACCCCTCTTCATGGAGGCATTCCACGGGAGACACATCAAGACCCTGAAGGCCATGGTGCAAGCCTGGCCCTTTGTCCGCCTGCCTCTGGGGGGCTTGATTGACATGCCTCATGTGGGGCCTTTACAAGCAGTGCTGGAAGCACTTGACGGTTTGCTGGCCCAGAAGGTTCGTTCCAGGTGAGTGTGTTTAAGGCACCTTGATAAAATCTTGGATGTCCCAGAGGAGATAGGTGGGTTGAAAACAGGTGGGTGGAAAGGATTCTGAAAATGGTAATGCAGAAAACTTGTTGCTAAAGGAAGTACCTTCTGGAAGTTGGAGAGTGCCTGTAGTGAATGGGAACCTAGAAGAACATTTCCCACCTCCTCAAAGAGCCTTGATATACTAAAGATACTAAAGTGGAGAACCAGAAAGGATAAAAGGGGAAGGGGCATGGAGGACAGTGAGGCAGAGAGGGTAGTGAACAAGGCAGCAGAGGATGTCAGAAATGTTAAGTTACAGCACAGGTGGGCAGGATGTTGTCAAATTGTAAGGCTGTTTTTTTATTTCGTGTGGATTTTGATACATCCTCATCAGTTTCCTTGTTCCTCTAGGAGGTGCAAACTGCGGCTGCTAGATTTACGGAATACTGGCCAGAACTTCTGGAGCATGTGGTCTGGAGCCAGCAGTTATGAGTGCTCAAGCTCAGGAATGGCACCAGTGGCTGAGCAGGGCTCAATGACAAAGCAGCACTTGGCTCCACTAAAGATTTTTATAGACCTTTGCCTAAAGAAAAGGACCCTAGATAACTTTCTCACCTACCTTCTTAGGTGGGTGGAGCAGAGAAAAGCCTCTGTGCATCTCTGCTGTAAGAAGCTGAAGATCTCTGCAATGCCAATGGACAATATTGTGAAGGTCCTGAGCATGGTGCAGCTGGACTGTATCCAGGAGGTGCAAGTGAATTGGATTTGGCATCTGTCCACCCTGGCCACATTTGCCTCTCTCCTGGGAAAGATGAGTAACTTGCAGAGACTCCGTCTCTCCCCCATCCACCTGTCTGCCTTCACAGAGCAGGAACAGGATCACCTTGCCCAAATCACCTCTCAGTTCCTGAGGCTCGGTCACCTCCAGGATCTGCATCTGGACTATCCCTCCTTCCTTGAAGGCTGCCTAGACCAGATGCTCAGGTGGGAGTGGACCACTAGCTGGGTAACACTGAACACAACCCTAGAATGTCAAAAGCATTGTCTCCTTTGTTGCACTCTCCTTAAGTGTGATATCCCATGACATGAACTGCAGCACGCCAGGCCTCCCTGTCCATCACCAACTCCCAGAGTTTACTCAAACTCATGTCCATTGAGTCAGTGATGCCATCAAACCATCTAATTCTCTGCCATCCCATTCTCTTCCTGCCTTCAATCTTTCCCAGCATCAGGGTCTTTTCAAATGAGTCAGTTCTTTGTATTATATGGCCAAAGTAATGGAGTTTCAGCTTCAACATCAGTCTTTTCAATGAATATTCAGTACTGATTTCTTTTAGGATGGACTGGTTGGATCTCCTTGGAGTCCAAGCGACTCTCAAGTGTCTTCTCCAACACCACAGTTCAAGAGCATCAATTCTTAGCACTCAGCTTTCTTTATAGTCCAGCTCTAACATCCATACATGACTACTGGAAAAACCATAGCTTTTTTGGCAAAGTAATGTCTCGGCTTTTTAATATGCTGTCTAGGTTGGTCATAACTTTTCTTCCAAGAACCAAAGAGCAAGTGTCTTTTAATTTCATGGCTACAGTCACCATCTGCAGTGATTTTGGAGCCCAAAAAAATAAAGTCTGTCACTGTTTCCACTGTTTCCCCATCTATTTGCCATGAAGTGATGGGACCGGATGCCATGATCTTAGTTTTCTGAATGTTGAGCTTTAAGCCAACTTTTTCACTCTCCTCTTTCACTTTCATCAAGAGGCTTTTTAGTTC